CAATGACATCACCAGATTTCATGCTGTTTTCCCTGATCTACCACAGGCTCATGCTGTGATTTGGGGGACCCCTTCGGAGTGCCTGCATGTGCTCATGAACAAGGCCACTGGCGAGAGTGGAGGCAGTGTCTCACCAAGGCTTCCCTCTCCCCACCCAGTTTGCTCTCTGAGGCTGGTGTGCCCTGTAAGAACGCTGCTGGGCCATGTCCAGGGCATTGCCTTAAAGCTCCCCCAAATGGCCCCACTATCCACCTGGTGTCTGTGCCCTGAAACCTCATGGTGCCCTGTGCTCCTCCCCAAATTTGTCACACACTATCACCTGGACACCAAATAGTACTGGCCACTCTGAGTCTTACAGGATCCCTTACGAAAATAGCCCCCTTGACCTCTCTGTCCCCAGGACTCAGCTGCTAGGGGAGTGGGCAGGGCTGTGGTGTTCTTCCCTACACTTCTTTCCTTGCCTTCCTCCCATTGCTAATAGGTGCCTATGCCTCACACTTCCCCAAATCCAGCAGAAATACCTGAATCCTGTGGCTAGAAATGGTTTAGGCTGAAGGAATTCCTATTTTATGTCCTCAGACTTTGGCCACATTTCAGAATTACCTGGGGAGCTTTCTCAAATTCTATTGGCAACGCCACACCCCAACCCAAGAAATCAGAATCTCTGGGCATTGGTAATTTTTAGATCTCCCTGGTTCCAGTGGGCAGTCAACATTGAGAACCACTGCCTTAGAAGAAGACAGGAAGAGAGGCAGGAGCAGGACGGTGGTAGGAGCGAGGGCAGGGCCAAAACTGGGAGCCCTTTCCCTGTGATGGAAGAGCCGAAGCAAGCCAGACCTCGTGCCACACCCCGAGACGCACACTGAGAAAATGCAGTGATTCTTTTGCCAAACCTGCCAGTGACTCGTGCTGCCATTGTCAGTATCTCTTTCAGCTGAGTCAACATACTGGGAGAGTCAAAGAAGACAAGGGCAGCTTAGACTGGTGGCATCTGGAGTGCGTGGGGAGGAGGCCTCCTGCTAGTGGCTGTGGTGGAGACAGAATCCTGCAGTGGACAGAACATCAGGAGAGCTCTGATACAGCCCTGTGTATGTTTCCAGACTCAACCAGGAGAGCAGGACATCTGCTCCAGTAATGGGTACGACCAGGGACTGGCCTATGTTAGTGTGGTGCACAAAAGAGATAATTCATTCGTTTATTCATTCAGTCAGTCAGTTGGGCAGTCAGTCATTTGTCCATTTGTCTATTTGCTCACTCATATTCATGCATGTCAGAGCTGTGTGTAAGGGACCTCATATATCATATGCAGCCTGGTGGTTCCCAGGCTTTGTTTTTAGCTGAGGAATGCTGGTTTAAGTGAAACCAAATGGAAGCATAAACAAATACAAGGGGAGTTGCTTTGGTTAAAGTGGCATAGGAGGCCCTGGGCCCAGCCCACTCACCTCCCTTCTCTTAAGGAGCCTTCACTAGCTCCTCCTGTTTCAAGGAGAAACAGGGTTTGGAAACCTTTCATCTTATAAATGAAGACACTGAGGTATAGAGCAGGGTGGTGCCTTGCCCAGAGTCACACAGATTTCATGCAACAAATTTTACTGTGCTGGGTATGGAAGGCCACAGAGCTGAGCAAGACACAGTCCTCGCAAAATGGCAAAGGGTACAGCATAAATTACTACTACCTCAACCTTGGGTGCCGAATGAAATGCCCAGCTGAACCAGGAAAACTGCCTCTCTCAGCTCTGTTTTCTGAAGAAAGCCCTTCTACGGTTCTTCCCCAGCACACAGCACTCGGGAGAAACACGCCCCTTTTCTCCAGAGCCCACCAGATCTAATGCATGTTCAGCTGGGATGCAGAATGTTGGCACTCCGACCGCCTTCAGTGTTTTCCTGGTTGTTAAATATTTTGAATATCACACTTAGATTCCACCATCAAAGTTTCCAAAGTGCGAGTAAGAAGCAGATAGCAACAGAAAACATCAGTAACTAGCTCAGCAATAGCTGCCTTTTCACTGCTGTTATTTGACATCAAATCTACAGAGATCTCTCAGAAAAGGGGAGATCATTCTCCTCGTGGGGTGATTTCCATGGGGGACTTTCTGGGTGTGGTCTTCCTGAAGATGCTTCTGGGGCTCAGGGTGACCAGGCTGACTCCTGAGATAACATGACAGCCACACGGTGTCTCAGGACAGAGACCAGCCTGAGGTCAGTCCCCAGGCCTTCTACGTGTGTGCTGTCATGCACTAAGAAGTGCTGGGCAGCGCTTCTCAGTTCCCGAGTTCTCTGTGTAGGGGGTGCTGTCCCTCCCCAGGAAGTGCCCTTGGCTTAAGGGAGCTGTCTTGCTTCAGTTATGCCCCTTATGGGGGGGCAGGGACCAATGACTCAGCCCCTTGCCTGGTTTGGGGAACACCTTCAAAGGGCCCCCCAAGCTTCAGTGTGCCCCATGGAACAGCCAAGGCCTTGTGGCAAGCCGGCTGTCGCATAGCCCCTCCCTCCACCCATCCTGCTTCCACGACTCTCTGACAGCGGTTGTTCCATGAGTATTCCCCAGTTAACCTGCTGCACCCAGGGCCTTCCCCTCAGAGTCTGTTTCCTGAGGAATCTGACCCTCGACACAGTGCGGGCAATAATCCCTACCTGTCAGAGCTGTTGTGAGGGTTATGTGAGCTCAGTGTTCATGTGAGACTTCCTCTCTGACACAGCGCCTGGAATAGAGTAAATGAGCAATGCACACTCACTCACATCCTCCCTCTCTCCAGCCTTTCTTCCTCCAACTGTGTTTATAGACTCCATAGTGAATGTTCTCTGTCCTCTGAGGGAGGCAGCTGGCTCTCTGGTCACTGGTAGAGCAAAAATGATAGACATATTCTAAACCCAATAAATGTTCAATCCCCTCTTTTTGTTGAGGTATTCTACCTAGCCGTGTTTGTCTTTCATACCAACACACACACACACACACACACACACACACACACACACACACACGGTATCGCAGAATTCTGCAGTCTTTGTAGCTTTGCAAACGTCCGAAGTTTTATACCACCACCACAACAAACAGAGAACTATATACTGGGTGAGACATCCCAGGAGGGAGAGATCACTTCCTGGTAGTGCAATCAAGGAGGTCCTCATGAAGGAGGCCACATTCACTGTAGGTTTTGAAGGATGGACAGAAATCCATCAGGCAGAAAGTATGGGCGTGGCTTTCCCAGCCGGGGAGTGATGTGACAGTCAGCAGTGCAATTGGAAAAACACAAAGCACGTTTAGGCAAGTTCTGCAGTCTTGGATGAAGACAGCGTTTTGTAGAGAAGGACAAGGGAGAGGAGCCAAGGCTGGAAAGACAGTCTGGGACCTCTTTGGGTAGGGCCTTGAATGCCAAGCTGAGGCTGGAAGTAATGGGAACCCACTGACTCTCGAGAGTGGGGAGAGCCTTAGGAAGGTCAGTCATGGAGAGGATTGAATGGGAATGGTAACACAGGTCAGGAAGCCATTGCAGAGCTGTGACAGACACAGATAGTGAGGACCCCACACCTGGCTGGGGTCGAGAGGGTCAGGAGGTCAGGAGGTCAGGAGTCTCAGGGTACAACTGCCGACCTCTTTTTCAGGTCATGGCTACTGCCGTAACCTTCAGGGGCAACTGTGCAAATCCCCACACCTCCTGGTCTGAGAATAGGCAGCAAGCAAGCTCACTCCCCAACAACTGTTTGGGGAAGTGAAAGAGGAAAATGACCTCAATAGAAGGGTGCCTGACTCATTGTTTCTGAGTGACCTTGTGCAGGAACATTCTCTGAGCCTGCTGCCAGTCACCTCCTCAGTCCACACCTTGCCTCACAGGAATGTAGACACCAAAGGAGAGTCCCTTGCATGAAACACCTAGAGAAACTTCAAGAAACAGAACAGACCCAGGCTTACTTCCCCACTCTCTCGTTGTAAGGCCTTGAGCAAATCAACACCTTTCTAAGCCTCAGTTTCCTCATCTATAAAATGGTAATAATAACTATCATCACCCACTTGTGGGACTTTTATGAGATCAAATAGCCTAATAAACCAGAAGGTGCCTAAAGGTCTTTGGAAGCGGGTGCCACATAAATACATGAGGTAATTGTCAGAGCTGTTATGTAATTGGGTATTACTATTGTCACCGCCCCTATAGTGCTGTTCATGGGGAACTTTTTCCATGAATAATTGTCAAATGCCTCCTCTTGTTTAGATGTGGGCCTTACTCAAGAAGGCTCCACAGATACTGCCTAATGGACCTTGAGTGAGATCCTGCGAAAGCCTGGAGGGAGGCCTGGCTGAGAGCACCGTGATACTAGGGAGTGATTCACCGCTGCTCAGCGGGGAGGCTTCTGCTGTCTAGCCCGGGGAAAGGCAGGTGACTCAAGGTGAGACTTTCTGGGCACAGAGGATCTGCGATCACCCGTCCCTCCAATTCCTCCATCTCTTCAGCTGCATGAGCCCAGATCCCCTCCTTCTCCCTCTCCCCGGTCCTCAGCTACCAGAACCTTCTGGTCCCACTGCCTAGAAACCTAACAGTGAGTCTGATGTGTCTCACCAACCATGGAACCTAAGTTTCCTCATCTGTAAAATGGGCCTAATAATCACTGAGCTGCCTGCCTTACAGGGCTGATGTGAGGAGTGTCCCACAGGCTGAGGAGGCGAGAACGCTTAGTGACTACAGGTGTTGAACCAAGATAAGAGGCAGTTCAAGGGGATGTTTCAAGAGTATGTTTTTAGATGGTTTCCTGTGCAGGAGACGGGTGAGGACATGATGGCTGCAGACTACTCTGCAGTGGCCGTGAGGAAAGTTGTAAGGGGATCCCAGGATGCCAGTTCCCCCAAGGCCTGAAGCTCCAAAGCTGGGTAGAAAGCGTTTCTTGAGCATGGGCTTTTGAGAAAACATCTCTTGGTGTTCTGATACAAGGCACCCCTCTTTAAAAACAAACAAACAAAAACAAAACCCCACATTAAAACTCTAAGACCTTACCCTAGCTGGTGTGGCACAGCTGGTTGGAGCATCGTCCTGTGGACCGAAATTTTGCAGGTTTGAGTCCTGGTCAGGCACATACCCAGGTTGCAGTTTCAGTCCCCGCTTGGATCATTTATGTGAAGGCCCAATAGATGTTTCTTTCTCACATCGGTGTTTCTCTTTCTCTTTCTTCCTTCCTCTCTCTATAAAAGCAAGGTAGAAATGTCCCCAGGTGAGGATTTAAAAAAACAGCAACTATGAGACAGGACAGTGTGTGGGAGTCACCCTCTGCCATCAGCCCACGGCTTGGAGAGAGGCATGGGCTGATATAAGCTAGTGACGCCCACCCACCCAGACCACAGAGGAGCATGGCTCGGAGGTGGCAGCCCCCCACCAATAAGGGAAAAGTCAGAACTGAGCTACCAAGAGGCTGAAGTCCCTTCCCAGGAGGGCCTGTCCTGAAAGGAGACAGGAGGGAGACCACAGAGGGAGAGGTGGGCCCAGTCCCCCGGGGCATCAGGTGTGCTGCAGGAACAAGAGCAGGGCCAGGGAGAGGGCCCACTTGCCACTTGCTATCTCTGGCTGGGATTCTTTGTGCACAGGTGAGGTAGGGGGAGGAGAAGAAATAGGTTAGAGTTCTCCAGGGGAAGAAACACAGGGATAACCCACACTGTTATTGCCCTTTGGGGCTTCCCTCACAGGGGCTGGGGCAGGCTTGATGAACCCCAAGGTCCCTGAAGCAGAGACAAGTTCTCCACATGCACGGAGAAGGTTTAGAGCATCAGAGATTCGGTCCCTGTGTCCAGTCATAAGTGTTCCCCAGCCTCAAGTGATTTCCTAACTCCTCAGCCTGGGTTTAAGTCTGTTCTTTAACTTAACCCCTCCCGTCCCCCCAGCCAGGTCCAGGTCACACTCCCAGGCTTAGCCTGCCCGTCCAGCTCAGGCTGACTCCTCCACGTGGAGGGTCCTCCATAGCCACCCCCGCTCTTCTTGGTATGAGCGCAGACTGTGAAAGCAGAGTCGGCGCTCACAGCAATTGACCAGCCCTGTAGCCTTGGCAGCTACCTAACCTTTCTGGGTCTCCACTGCAGTATTTGGGGATCGAAGTAGGAGCCTTGTTGTAAGGATGAGATGTTTTTCACCCAGCCATACAAATACCATACGATTTCACATGCCGGTGAAATCATATGGTACTTGTCTCTCTTTGACTTATTTCACTTAGATCATACGCCCTAGGTCCATCCATGCTGTTGCAAATGGTAAGATTTTATTCTGTTTCATGGCCAAGTAATACTGCATTGTGTAAATGTACCACAACTCTTCCGATCCAGATGTCCACTGATGGGCAGCTGTGCTGCTTCCGTATCTGGGATGGTAACGGATGCTGCTATCAGCACAGTGGGGCTTGTGTTCTCTCAGGTGGGTGTTCTGGGTTTCTTTACGAATATACCCAGAAGAGGACGGACAAGGTGAAGGGATAAAGAACCACAAGTTGGTAGTCACAAAACAGTCCAGGGGGTGTAAAGTACAGTATAAAGAATATAGTCAGTAATATTGTAATAACTATGTACGGTGTCAGAGGGCGCTTGAAATATCGGGGGAACCACTTTGTAAAGTACATGACTGTCTAGCCACTGTGCTGTACACCTGAAACTAATACACAATAATATTGAACACAAACTATAAATGTAAAACAAAAACTTTTTAAAAATATTAAACGTGTCGACAGGCAAGCACCCAACAAGCCCTGTATCTGCACTGGCTCCTTTTGAAAATCCTCCCCAGTGCCTTTTCAAGAGTGAGCTCCAGGTCTCCTTCTGAAGGCCTTCCTCGGCCACCGCCTGCTCTGGGCCTTCCTCCACAGCTGCACTGCGCCTGCGTGCCCGTTCTCTCCTCACCCCCTCCCTGGTCACAGAGAAGCTTATGGAAGCTCATGGCACAAGGTAGCCAGCATTCAGCCTTCTCAGGAACCCTTACACCTGCCTAGATTTGAGATCCTTCTCTACAAAGCCACGTACCTCTCATCCTTCAAAACTCTGCCCCAAACACATGTCCTCTGGGAATGGCACAGTGGGAGAGGCATAAGCTCTGGGCTCAGAGAAACCTGGGTTTGAATCCCAGCTTAACCCATACCAGCTGGGTGACCTTGGGCAAATTACCTAACCTCTCTTACTCTCAATTTCCTGATATGTCAAATGATGGAAGTACCCCTCCCTCACAGGATGAAGACGAAGAGGAAGTGAAATAATGACCCCCAGATGCCTGGTGCAGTGATGCATCAGTGCTGGCACAGAGTAGGTGCTCAGTAAATGTTTCCCTCCTTTCTTCTCCATCCTGCTCTGATGGCACAGTCTCTTCTCTGTAATCTAACCCTCAACAATCTTTACAGCCACAACTGGCTTACTCTGTCTATGTTCTTGAACAGTTACCATGCATTGGTTACTCTTTTATTCATTCAGCATGTAGTGGATGGTTACTATTTGTCTGATGCTGTGCTAGGATGCCCTGGGACTGACTGCAACCAAATCCTGGCTGAGCCCATGCTATATGCCAGACATGGTGCTAGGCACAGGGGACTCAGGGTAAAGGAGACAGCACCTCTGTCCTCAAGGAGCACAGACTCCAGCAGGGAAGACAGACAAGAGGATGCAAGGATTACATCAAGTGGAAAGTGTCTGTGTGCCAGGGTGCTGTCACGCAGGAGGGTGACAGCTAAGTGATGGGGGGAGGAGGACTTCCTGGAGGAGGTGGCATCTAAGACTCAAAGAACAAATGGGAATAAGCTAAACAAAGGAGGGGTGGAAGGTCCATCTAGGTAGAGGAAACAGCCTGTTTAAGTCCTGGAGGAATGAGGCTGAGGGGAGGGCTCAGGAATATATCCTTCTGTATGGTTGGATGCATATGCATTGGTCAGACCCCCAGCCCAGCTCCAGCTCCCCCTTTTCTCAGAGGGTCCCTCAAATGTCTAGCTAAGGGACAGGAAAGCTTTAGAAGAAAAAAATAGTGTGGGACTCACTTGGTGGGTGCTCAGGCTGAGCTGGAAGGAGGAATAATGGCCCCCGCCTCCCACCCACTCTCATGCCAGAACACTGGCCAATAGCCAGGGTCAGCCTTAAGCTGCGCTCGGCCTGTGGTAATAGCCCCTAGATATCAGGGAAGGGCCTGCCTCCTCAGCTGAAGCCTTTCCGCCCGCAGTGCCTCTGCCTCCTTCCTCAGGCCCCTGCCATATCAGTTCCCACTAGTTTGGTCGAGATGAAGGTCACCTCACCTTCCCGGGGTTTTCCTGCAGCCAGCAGGCTGCAAACACTCCCATAATGCCCCATATCTGTAGAGAGACATGCACGTGTAGTCACCAAGCTCACTACCACGTGAGCACACTCACACACGTGCACACACTCCTCCCCCAGTATCCACACTCACACACAGACTCTCACACCACTTACCCAAGCATCTGCTCACAGACACACACACTCACACACTCACACACCAGAAGGCCAAGTTCCCTAAGTTCCCGTTGGGGAGGATCAGCCCCTCTGGAAGGTTCTGGGCCTCTGCTGGACCCCAGTGTGTCTCGCTGAGACAGTACCAAAGGGTTAAACAGAGAACACTTCCAGGGAGTTTGCCTCTTAATCAACACAGTTAATTCTTTTCCTTTTACAAACATAAATTCTTGGCAGTCAGTAACCAAGAAAGAAAGGGGTAAGAAAAAAACCTTAACCCAACATTAGTCAAATCTTTGCTTCTTCCTATTTTTTTTTCCAAGTTCAAACCCAGGGGAATTCAAAGCAATGAGAGAAATCCCAGCCCAGATGGAATGTTTTTGCTAATATACGTCTGCAAGTTATTTAAATGTATGTTTAAGTACATATGTGCGTATGAGCATGTGTGTGTGTGTGTGTGTGTGTGAGAGTGAGAGAGCAAGTGTGGCTGAGTGGTGTGTGTGTGTGTGCGCATGTGTGACTACAGCAGACAGCAGAGCAGAGGAACCACCAGAGTCTCTGCCTGAGTCCCATCTGTCCTCCGGCCTTGGCTCTCCTGTCCAGACCTGAAGCAGGACAAGGATATCACCCAGGACTCTCTTTGTCCTTCAACCTAGGGTCTCCTGGGACAATAGCCTCTGTCCCTGCCCTTCCAGCCCAGGTTGACCCCGACGACACATTCTGCTAGCGATAACCCACCCCCCCATACACTTTCTTGTCTTTCTTTCTTGCTTACCCAGAAGACTCCAGGCTGGAGTTTCTAGGCCTGGAGGAGAGGAATAGTTGAGAGGACCCATCCCCCGTCACGAGGCCCCCGCTCCGATGGCCCTGCCTGGACTGGAAATCTGGGCTTAGACTCTATCCCTGGCCTCTGCTCTCCCTTCTCAGAGATCTCTCATGATCTTCAGGCCTCCTTGGTGTTCTACCTTTGACCTCACTCCCTCAGACCTTCACCCAGGGACTCCACCTCAGCAAGTTTCCTACCTCCAGCCCCAGAAGCCCTCCTCGCCAGGATCAGGGTGCAGGGGCTTTGCAGACAACCCCTTCAGGCCTGCACCTGCACCTAGCTCGCTCTCATCTGCTCTGCTCCCTCTTGAGCCATCATCCTTTTCATCTTTCCTCTGAAATTGTTCCTCTAGCCCCATAATCAGCTGTCTGGGTTTCAATTTCCTGATTTCCGGGGGAGACTGAGCAGCTTTCTCCATCTGAAGACACTTTAGATGCCTGGGCCACCCCATGGGCTGGCTAGACCCCTCTCTGGCAAGGGGCCTGCTCTCACTCTCCTGAGCCCCAGCCCACCCTGAGTCCCGGGCCTTCCACACAGAACTTCCCATGCCCCTGCCCTGCCCTGGCCCCCCAGGGATTCCAGCCTTCCCATCATTACCCCTCCACACAGAGGCCTCTCAGGGTCTCTAGGCAGGCCTAGAGCCTAAAGTTCACAACCTCTTCTATCACCAGCTCCTGGGAAAGGAGAAGTGGGGGTGGGTGGGGCAGGATAAAGCTCAGGGGCTGGAATCTACAGAGAGAATCCCTGTTCTGGTTGCTCCCCCCACCCCATCCCTGTGCTCTGGCTTCTCTGCTCCTCCCATTCACTCTTGCCCTCAGAGGTCCTTTTTCTGAGTACGTGACCATCCATGGTCTCCCCTGGCTGGTGAGGGAACAAGACTCACCAACTTTCAACTCTCTGAGAGCATAGCATCTACTCTGCTCATCCTCTGGAACCA